TCTCTTGTCCCCAAAGGAACCATACTCGTGTTCCCGAAGGAACCATTTTTCTTTACATACATATCTTAGCTATGTGACTCATCACATAACACTAGTCCCGTGGACATCTATATCTATGTCTCATTAAGAGACAATGTAATCTTTCTCTTCTAGTACTTAACCCATTAAATATGTATTCTCTAACTATGTCTAATAACATATTGGCATTCTACAATACCATTAATGTCTAGACATACTTACATACTCTTATGATTACACTGCATGTAATCATCATCTATCTTTCTCTTCTATCTCTTGGGTATTAACAAAATACCCTTCTCATTTAAACCCACATACTTTAGTATACATACATGCTCTGCTACATGTATCTTGTGTATATCTCTTACATACTCATAATATGTGTACATGCTCTTACACACATATTCTTCATCTATCTTCATCTCATTACTTGGGGACACCCACTTAGTGCCCCAAGCTTCAACATATATATATATATATATATATATATATATATATATATGTGTGTGTGTGTGTGTGTGCATGTCTCGCTCTCTCTCTCTCTCTCTATATATATATATATAGATATATATATATATATATAGAGATATATATATATATAGATATATATATGTGGTGTGGTGTGTGTGTGTGTGTGCATGTCTCTCTCGCTCTCTCTCTCTCTCTCTATATATATATATATATATATATATATATATATATATATATATATATATATATATATATATATATAAGAGTTCATTTGAGACGAACATAATTTTGTGAGGCCGTGAGACCAAATTTTTTTAGGTGATGTTTGTTTTTTCTGAGATAAAATGTCTGCAGTTTGCGGACCACATCTGTAGACCTCTGCAGTAGAAGAGGTGGACCAAACGTCTGCAGTCTGAAAAAAGAAGACTGTTTGTTTTTTTAACATCTGCGGGCTACTAAAATAAACTGAAATCTAAATAAACTGATTTTTTTAAACTTCAAAGTGATTTTTTAATATTTTTATGACTTTGTTATAAATAATTAACGAATCTAGATTAACTTTTATGTATTATTGTATAAAAAATATAAATAAAAATAGTATGGATTAACATATATATTTGATAAAAAACAACAACTTTGGTTGCAAAGTTATAATTAAACATTATAATTAGTGATCAAAGAATTTGATACATAAATGGATGGAAATAAACTTAGATTTTTTCAATTAAATCCATTAAAAACGTACCATAAATATTTTCTCGACAAATTGACGATACTGTATTAAATAATGTTTTACAAAATTTGGCAAAAAAATATAAGAATATATTATGATTTTTTTTCATATTTATATAAACAACTTCAATGACTATTATTGTAATAAATCTTTATTTATAAATTTGTCAAAAATATCATGTTTGTATCGTCGAACGTTTTTTTTTTAAGTTTTGTAATTTTTTTTTTCAAATTGTTTATCATTAATAAAGTTGGAAAGAATATAAATTAAAAAAAACTTAAAAAAAATAAAGAAATATATGTTTTTTTAGGCTAGAAGATGTTTGAAGATGTTAGAAGACTCTGGTCCACATCTGCGCCAAGAAGAGGGCGCACAAACATTTTTAGGTCTGCAGTCTTCAAAAAAAACAAACAGTCTGCGAAGGCTAATGTCTGCGCGTGGTCTACGCGGCGCAGACAGAAGAGGTCACGCAAATCTGCAGACAAAAAACAAAACTACCTTAGTGAACTATTCTAATATTCTATTGTTCGTAAAAATAAAATATGCAATATATTCTAACATTATATGTTTTAGAATATTTCAATGTAAAATATGTTAAAATTATTGTGTTAGAATATTAGAATATTACACATATTTAATTTTTATAAACAGTATAATATTAGAATATTTCACTAGAAAAAAGTGGTCTCACGGTCTCACAAAATTAGGCCGTCTCACATGAACCTAACCTTATATATATATATATATATATATATATATATATATATATATATAATTCTAAAGTGAGAGAGTGAGAGTAATAACTCACCTCATCATTTAGTGAATACTAAGTGTCCCATCTTCCTTTACTCTGCCATTGATGCATCTGGATCCATATTCTTTGCTCTTAGGTTTAATCATACATACATACAAGTTCTTAATACTTATCTTAGCTTATTAAGAGCTTTTGACCCTCTAAGTCAAAATAACCACTTAATGGATCAAAATTATATCTTTTCATTCTCTATCTCTTAATCTCATCTAATTGATGAGTTAAGCATCTCATAATACCTTATTCATCATAAGCTACTCTAATGCATCAATTCATACATAATCACTAGTTATGGTTTCAAACCCTAACTTCACATTGGATTGATTCCACTTATGGAAATCACATACAAGCTTGTTTAAGGCATCTAAACATCTCCTACAACTCTACAAACAAGCTTTCTTACTCTAATATAACACAATTAGCTCAATTAATCAAAAAACCATTAAAACCCTAACTAGATTAACAATGGTTAAAATGATTACCTCATGAGCTTCTCTTCTCTAATCAAAGCCATATGCACCATAAACCACCTCTTTCCCCTTCTTCATTCTCCAAATTGTCGAAGTGCCATATGGGAGGGTTTAGGTGTGCAAAAATGACAAGAATGAAGGCTTAACAACCTTATGTTCTGATTCATAACCACGTTGTGGTTTCTTACTTACCGCACCATGGCGACTACTTGACTGCAGTCAATGGACGTGCATTTTCTTGCGACACTATGGTGCTCTTCTTCCACTAGCAGCCTACTTTCGCCACCACGTCGTGGTGCCCATACACCGTGTTGCGGGGAAAAGTACATTGCCCTTTTATCTTACGAAGACGACTAAGTCTGAACCCTTTCTTCACTTGCCGCGTCGCGGTTCCGGCTTGACAGCAGCCCCTTGGGCTAATTCCATTCCAACTTTGGGACAACTTTGTCCCAACTTCTAACATTCATATCTTCTTCGTTTCTTACCCATTTTTGATGTTCTTTATATCCACGTGAAGGTGGGAACATTCTATACAAATTTTTTAAGTCATATCTTAGTGACTTAATACTAGTCTTAATCAATTAAGTCACACACTTGGCCCAAAAAAGCATAAAAATACCAATTTTACCCTTTTGGCCAAAATGCATCTTCTCATGCATTCTTTTCTCTTAAACTTACTCATTTGATCTCTTCTAAGAGACTTAAACTCTTATTGGCTATTTTGATGAAGTCACAACTTCATATTCTCATCTCTTTCTCATAATTGACCATTTTACCCTTTTGGTCAATGTTTGACTAAAAGTCAACTTTCTCCAAATTTTAGGTTCTTACACTCACCTGACTCCAGTAAAAGTCTCCTCAAACACCACCTATATAATATAAAGTGAATTACTAGAAATAAACAAAATACCCTTGGAGTCATAAAATTCCCAAACTCTCAAAATATTTCTTATTAACCTAATTAGGAATTATGGAGTTAAGATTAGGTCAAACGGATAAGCCATACCCTTGATATCATACTTTCGTTACGCATCGTGTTCTCTTATGAATGCGCCGCGTTTATATAATAGATTACATTGTCCAATTTTTACTCCTTTTTTGACCATTCACTTATGCATCAATACTTGGGGTTCTTGATGGAAGTCCTTTGTACAACCACTATAGGTTTCCAAACATCATTATAATGTATTTAGACATTCATAAGATTTTGACTTAATCCATTAAGTTCATCACAATGATTTTGTGGTTTCATTGATCATTAAACCTTTCTAATGGAAATAATCGCTCTAACTGTTCAAAGTATATACTAATGAACCATGTAGCCTCTTCAATCAATACAAGCTACAGTTTGACCATAATTGATGCATAAAACTAGATTCTATATCCAATCAATTCTTATAGCTCAATCTAATCATGGAAATCATTATTTCACCTTCTAAATTCTCATTTTGCCCTTATGGCTAAACAATCCCTAAAACCACTTATGGATCAAGTGATCCTTCATGTGTTTGCGTCTAATTCACTTGTAATGTATCAATTCATAAGGTATACCATCATTTACATATTTATATGCTTGAAATCAATCGAGGTCTATCATTCTAACATTGAATCCTTAATCAAAAACATTCAAAACTTGATTATCTCATTTCCTCTGGTTTATGCATCCTTACAGGATTTAGTGCTACAAAACTACAACAAATGGTCATAAAATCCATTAGGAGAGAGCTTGAAAAATTCATGATCATAAGTTGAGATTCTAAGGTTTTTGACTAAATTCTTACCTAAACACCAAATCCATCAAAGTAATGATGGTTAAAGGAAATAGTAACATGCTATTTGTTATGTCATGGGCAAAGAGAGCGTGCAATCATGGTAGGGCAAACACAAGAGAGAATCGAAGGGACAAAGACAATGTTAAGTTGTCAATAGACCTGCCAAAAATTAACACAACTGACTAACCCTTTTGACATGAAATAAACGGGGTTTTGTAAGTAATTTCAATCCATTTATGTACACATGTTATCACAACAAGATGCAAAAACTAGATGGGTAACAATGTAAGGTTATGGTCAAGTTATTTCATTTTTTTTGGTGTTTCAACTTGACAAGATAAGACACATTTATAATATCTAAACCTGCTAACTTGCTACCGGTAAACTTATATGAATAAAACTAAAAACCAAATACTTCAACTCGCTTAATGTTTCATCCTGCCCAAACCTGATACAACACGATACAACTCGCTTAATTGTTAATTGTTAATGACTTGGAGATCGGGTCCAACGTGTTCATGGGCCGTTCCCTCGTCGGCCTTTTCATAAACCCACGATCATTTAGAAAACAGCGCCGGAGACTCACGCTGGAAAAGCTGCCCCAATAACGGCCGATAACATGCCACGTAGTCTCCCGCCAGTTATCCAGCAAATGTCAAAATTACCCCTACCTTGACATCCAACCATCTCGCCACACAGGGATATGTTTGTAATATCATTGTTCATCAGCTGCCCCCTTCCATTGTCGGCTCGCATACCCTCCGTCCTCCTTATGTTTTCCCTGCTTCAGTTCCATTTGCACACACAAACACATACGCACGAACTGGGTATCCATCTACGTGATCTTTGAGAATGTCGGCTCGAGCAAGACGAACGTCGTTCCCGGAAGTGGTTATTGAGAGGGACTCCGACACCGAGAAAAGTTCAGACGACGAAGAAGAGGTAGAAGACGACGTCGTTGAGTCAGATGATCAAGAAGAAGAAGACGTCGAGGAGCAAAAAGGTAAAGAGGCTGAAGTTTCGTCTGCAGCCAATAAGAAGGGGAAGGCGCCTATTACTATCAGTCTTAAGAAAGTCTGCAAGGTAACAAGTAACAACCCTCGACATTCGATACTCTTCTTCAACATTATATCTCTTCATGTGTTAGGGTTTTTTGTTCTGTAGCATTGTGAGTGTATTTATTTATATGCTCTGTGTTTTTGCTAGGTATGTAAAAGAACGGGTCATCAAGCAGGGTTTCAAGGACCTACTTACATCGATTGCCCGATGAAACCATGTTTCCTCTGCAAATTGCCTGGTATTTTTCTCATTCAACTTGAATTACACGTCAGTCAATTGTAATAAGTAAGATGTATCTCTAAATTGGGCAAAATTAGTTGATGATTTTGGTTTCCTTGCATTCTGAAGGTCACACAACGGTTAATTGTCCTCACCGAGTAGCTATGGAGTTTGGGGTTATTCCAGCTTCTCGTAAACGCACAAACAACTCTTTGGATTATGTATTTGAACGCCAAGTTCGCCATAGAGTTCCTTCTGTAAGCTTGTTGGCTATATCTCATCTTATAATCATTCCATAATAAAAAACAATCACTGTTTTTCACCTCTCTCATTTATGTTCATCTTTGCTAAATTGTTATAGATAAAACCAGAATTTGTGATCCCAGATGAAGTGAATTGTGCAGTAATCAGATATCATAGCAGACGAGTTACATGCTTAGAGTTCCATCCAACCAATAACAACATTCTCTTATCAGGTGACAAGGTTAGTGATAAGATCTTGTATAGCTGTCGCCTGTCAATTGGATTTATCTCATGGTTCTTATTCTTATCTCCATAACTTTTTTCTCATAAAGAAAGGACAACTAGGAGTTTGGGATTTTGGTAAGGTGCATGAGAAGACTGTATATGGAAACATACATAGCTGCCTACTCAACAATATGAAGTAAGCTACTTGATACTTCATGCCTGTTTTCTTTTGTCCCCATATTTCATTGACTCTCTCTCTCTATTAATTCATTCTTTCTGCATTAAACATGATATAACTAATGTGCAGGTTTAGTCCAGCAAATGATGGAACAGTTTATGCAGCATCTTCAGATGGAACCATGAGTTGCACTGACTTGGAGACTGGTTTATCTACACCATTAATGGACCTCAACCCTAATGGATGGCAGGTATTTCTTTAATTTTTTTTCTAATCATTTTGGTATTATGAATGTTTGAAAGCATGATCTGTTGTCTTAACTCTTGAATCTTCTTTAATATTTGATGATCTACATAGGGACCCAACAGTTGGACAATGCTATATGGTATGGACTTGAATGCAGAAAAAGGTCTTGTGCTAGTTGCAGATAATTTCGGATCCTTACACTTGTATGTTCATACATTAACCCAATCTTTCTTCTTGAATCTTGATGATTGCATTAGCTTACATTGATGCAAGATTCTTTTTTTTTTTTTTAATATAGGGTGGACATTCGATCAAATTCACAAAAAGGAAATTCGATTCTGATCCATAAGAAAGGAACCAAAGTCGTGGGACTTCACTGCAACCCTTTTCAGCCTGATCTTCTATTGAGTTGTGGAAATGATCACTTTGTAAACTTTCTTACCTTTTACCATTTTCTTGATTATGTTTTTTATTATTATTATTATTTATTTTTATATGTTTGTGCATATTAGGCTCGTATATGGGATATTCGGCGTTTGGAAGCTGAATCTTGTCTTCAAAGTCTTCCACACAAACGTGTGGTCAACTCTGCTTATTTTTCTCCTATAAGTGGAAGCAAAATAGTGACAACATCAATAGATAATAGAATTCGTGTGTGGGATTCTATTTTTGGAAACTTGGAAACACCAAGTCGTGAAATTGTACACAGTCATGATTTTAATCGACACTTGACTCCATTTCGAGCTGAATGGGACCCAAAGGTGATATCAGATATGCTTTATTTTATTTATCAGATATTATTTATTCATAGAAATAGGGAGAGTAATTTAATTTTTTTTTTTTTAATGTAGGATCCATCAGAGTCACTTGTGGTTGTTGGGCGTTACATTAGTGAGAATTATAATGGATTGGCTTTGCATCCTATTGATTTTATAGATATTAGCACAGGTCAACTAGTTGCTGAGGTTATGGATCCTAACATAACTACAATTACTCCAGTCAACAAATTGCATCCACGTGATGATGTGTTGGCATCTGGTAGTTCAAGGTTTGTTCTTTGGAATTTCTTCTTCATCTTTTCTTTTTCCAATGATAAACAAATAAATGAAAGTGGGTTGCTGTTACGTGGTGTTTTAGGTCACTATTTATTTGGAGGCCTAAGGAGAAGTCGGAAATGGTGCAAGAGAAGGATGAGAGAAAAATTGTTGTTTGTGATAGAAAAAATAGCAAGTTTGGAGATGATGATGATGATGATTCAGGTGATGATTTCTCAAGTAAAAAAGGCAAGAATGGAAAGTCGAAATCTAAAAAACCCATTTTGGTAACAACTCCATGTAGCAGCAGCAAGAAGAAGAAGAAAAAAATTTGAAAGATGTGGTTGTGGTTGTGTAAATTTGATGGCTAATACTAGTGTTAACTATAATAGTCTCCTTTTGGGTTTTGGCCTATGTTTTGAGCAAAAAAACCTTTTGTCCTGTTAGATTCTCATTGCATGCTAGCTAGCTTTGTGTTCTTGATTACTAATACAAGAACACAAAATTTTGGTTATTATAAAGAATAGGTGTAAAATAGTCTTAATTTGATACAAAGGTTTACATATTTAGGACTTGATCTTGAAAAATACTTGTTTTCTATTGGATGCAAGCTTTATTTTGCTGATAAGTTGGTTTTAGTGTTTAACAACTTCTGTTTATATATGTAAATCGACTAAAAATGATATGGGTAAAAGAGTAGATTGGTATCCGTGTTGCTGGTTAAAAAGAAAAACAAATCTACAAAACATGGTTTTTCTAGAGATGTCCGAGTGATAAATGTTAAATTGGTTTCTACGCATAGTAGAATATTTTCAAATAGGTTATAAGACTTTCAAATAAGCTTAGAAGGAAGCAACTTTCCGCTTAAAAAAACTGTTTATTACAAGTCGATAATCATTATTATTATATTTTATTTCATCTAAACACTTAAAAATGTTTATTATATTAGAAAACAGATTCTATTACTATCCAACAACTAAAATTCTGAAAATGGAAAACTGATTTGCCACTAATTTCAAATACAAAAACTAGATCTGACGTGAGAGTGAGACAAACACAAAAATCCTATAATGGGCTTAAAATCTAAAACATCATGTTTCCAAAGCCTCATTTTTCAGCATAAATACTTTTCACCTTTCAGCCCACCGATGACGTCATACTGAAGCAGGACTACATGGCGGATGACAGAAGAATCCCCAAATCATTAGCATTCGATTGGTCTATGAACACATTAATTTGAAATAATATTAATATTTATTAGAAGCAAATAATTGAATAGAAGAGATGTTATATATATAAAGCACTTACCAGAGGGAACTTTTTGAACAAAAAAGCATGCACCAATTACTACATACGCAAGCCCAAGCATCAGTCCTTTCAAGTAGTGTGAACTTCCATCCTGTATATACATCACATTTTATTTATTCAACTAAAATTCAATAAAACCCCCAATTTTCTTTTATTTGTAAATACTACAAAAGATGAAGGGGGTAAAATGTAAAACCTGCAAAGTTAAGATTGTAAGGACAATTGAGAAGGCAAGACAACCAGTTTCAACAACTCCAAAATCAAGACTCAATGGGATTCCCATTATCCAAGCAACAATCACACACAAAGGAAGCTGCAAGGGTTACCACAAATATGTAACATGAGATCTTCATCCATATGTTCATTCATGAGTTGTACCCTATGCTTAGGGTGTGTTACACTTATGTCTTACCAAGAATGTTGATATTTGAGACGCGGACCCCACCGCTACACCCAAAGATATGTCCTGCATGACCATTCACAGAATAACTTTTACACCACATGACATGACAAAATATGTTGTACTGTGTTTCAACTTTTACACCACATAAACATTACTGATGTCTTACCAATTTGTTTTTTAAGGCAAATATAATTGAACCAGCATGTTCTGCTGCATTTCCCACAATTGGCAACAAGATTATGCTAATAAAGCTCATAGAAATTCCCCAAGTATCTGATGCAACCTAATCCACAAGGTATAATTAGATGTAGAGATAATGCATTACTCACTTGTACTGTACAAGCTAACCATGCATACCTCAATGGTGTCCACAACATACTCGGATAGAATGGCTATGATCACTGTCATTGTGATTAACCACAAAAATGCGCTATAAAATCCTATCACTGCCCCTTCTTCTTCTCTCACCTCCTCATCGCTACCTTCCTACATAATTTCATTTGATTTTGGATGTCAAAATGTCAATATAACAATCAAATGATATATGATGAAGATGAACCTGTTGTTGTTCAAAGAATTGGGTATGAGTTTTCAACTGAAAGAAGAGGCATGCAGCATATGCAAGAAGCAACACAATACTGCTTGCTCTAGACAACTCAAGAGCTGAAGCAGTAGCCAATTCAGCAGGCTCATTGCCAACATATCTAAACAGCAATGGAAGAATCTGGCAGATCAAACCCAACAGTAACAATGAAGAATTTGGGTCCACTTGCTTCTGTTTGTTTATCATGAAAAGGTGAAATAAGTTCATGTTGTTAGATACCAATGAAATAAAGTGTTGAAGAATGAATGATGTTCTTACTCTGTTAAATCTTTGTTCTTTATTGAGATTGGCTATGCCTCCACAAAAGAGAGATGAGCCAAGAACAAGGAGGAGGTTTGAAATAATGGAACCCAAAAGAGAGTATTTAAGCACATGAATCTTCCTTTGATGAAGAGCAAACAATGCGATTATCAACTCTGTCGCATTACCACATGTTGCATTAAGGAGCCCTCCCACTGCAATTATAAGACAAATTTTCAATTAGAGATATGAGATATGAGAATGTCCTAATTCTTTGATTAATTGTTAATGAAAATTCATCATTCCTGCCATTAATTTGTTAATAACTGGTTATGATTGTACGATTCATCAAAATCCCTCTTTGGATAGAAAGAAATTATAGAAACGGAAAACGATATGAAACCACAAATAGACAAAAGGTTGCAGGAAAATGGAGTAAATGACTGGAACTGATTAAGATATATACCTGTAGGACCGGTGAAGTACGCAATTTGTCTTTTGAGTTTGCAGGGATTTGTAAAATAAGAACAAGTGTTAAAGCGTTTATACACCGCTAAATAGTTATGATTTCAAAATTAATTGTTAATTTCATGGAGACTTACTCGGTGAGGAAGCTAACTCGTTCTGCAAGTGGAGTGAGTCCGATCAAACTCAGAGCAAAAACCCATGGCTACAGAAAACGTAAACCTATCAGTATCAGATTCAGATGAAGAAGGTATCATAACACTAAACATAAACAACTTACGCCGCCGACATCGTAACATTCCGCTACAAAAGCAAACGGAATCGCCGGAAGAAGCACAGAGAGCTTTGTTCCGAACATTACTTCCTGAACATTTGCTATGAACATTCTCAAAATCCCAAATCGAACATGAACATCCCGCGAAACATCGGAGGACGACGTCGACGTCGTTGATTTCTCTGGTTTCACGACCTGAATAGTTTTCAGAATGTCTCCATTCTCCATATCATACGTCGCCAATGAACCCATTACAAGCAGTTTGTTCACACTCAGCTCCGCCTTCAAATGGTGGTGCTGCCGGCCGCGGCGATATCGAGAGGCTCACGGAAGTTTGGTGAGGAGGGCGACACGTTATAGGCGCCGGATGCCACGTGGCGCAATAAAAACTTTCCAAAAATTGATTGGAGTCAACCGAGGATATTCCATATTTCCAAGCCTGCTTTGATACGAAAATAATGATCAACTTTACGTATTGAATTAAGTTCGAACTTTGAAATTCTAATATGATTTTTTTTTTGGGTTCGAAATTGGCCAGAAAGATTTCAGTTTTCATTTTTTAATCGGTTTTGGATGTTGAAGATTTTTGGATTTTTTCGTTTAACTGACCCTCAAACAAAATATCGAATTTATAATCTGTTATATATTTCATTTGTTTCATATTAATAGTTCATATTTCCTTTTTGATCTGTCTCAAAATAATAACTTACTTTTAAAAATAAATATTCATTTTATCAAAATATCTCTCATTATTAGTTAAATTACTATGAAATTAAATGCAATTACCATGAAATTAAATGTAACAAAAGAGTAAAACTGTCATTTCATTTAATAAAATTAATGATAATTAATGTCATTTCATTTAATAAAATTAAAATTAATGATAATTAATGTTTTGGGACGGAGGGAGTAAAAAAAAAAAACTAAAAGTATAGATTTGTGACAACAATAGTCCACAGGCACTAAAACTATAATATGCTCTATAAATCAATTAAAGAAATGAATCATTGACAAACACGAGGATCGGGGATGTAACCGGTTTCGAAACCAGAATAATTGATTAATACCAATTAAGGAGTGAGCGGAAAACCGAGAACCAGACCGATAGTTCCAATCGGTTTCAGTTCTGATTCAGTTATATTAAAAAGTGTGTTATCAAAGAAAGTGTTTGGTTCAGGAACCTGAACAAAAAACCAAAAATGATGGACCGGAAGAACCAAGAACCGGAGCGAATACCACTAATTGGTTCTAACCGGTTCCAGTTAAAAATCTCATCCCTACCAACACCTACCTAAAACTAAGGACACAAATTTTTTATGCCTATTTGTAGATTATCTGAAAAATTGGCTGATAAACTAGCTTATAAATATATATAATATTTAGTAAAAAGAATTAATAAGCTAGATTGAAATATAAAATGATATATATATGTATTTAAATAAATAACTAAAAAATAAATATAGTTAAGAGAATATTTGAAATATTTTTGAAAAAAAAACTTCATAAGCTTATCAAAAGCTAGTTTATAAGTTAATCATAGGTTGAAATTAACTGTTTTTATACTTTTAACAAATAATAAACTACAACAAATTAGTTTATTTTTGCTAAATATGCTATAATTAAACAAAAATGATTTTTTTTTGTCTGAAGAAAACCGAACTTTATTGGTATAATTAAAAAAAATGATTTTTTTTTCTTCAGCAATGATGTGATATGTTGGAAACTTAACGAGGGTCGATTAAACGAAGCTGCTAGTGGAAATTTATTGGTTCTTGGTATTTTGGTGAATGTGAAATAATGAATATCGAAAGAATAATAAATACACAAATAGTCATTCATTACCTCATTAGCCAAATAATTTATTGAAAGTTGATAAGTGATGACACCAAAATTAACAGCCCATGTTGCAAATCAATCAGTAAAAAAAGAAATTTCATTAGAATATTACCAAGTACAGTAAGTTTGTTTTAAAAGTTGCAATGTTCAATTTGAAGCATAATAAAAAAACACACACACACACATATATATATATATATATATATATATATATATATATATATATATATATTGTTATGAATTAAGCGTAATTAATGTAACTATAAATCAAACAAAACTAGTAAACTTTGATAAGAACTTTAATTGGAAAGAAAGAATATTTAGAA